AGACACAACACCAAAGCTTACTAGCTTATCTTCTTCTGAAATTGTCTGCTGATCTACCAATTTGACAAAATCATACGAATTTTTAACTGAATATAGCCAAAAATTGGCAGAGTTGTTGTTTGCATAAAAACCGTGAGATTTTATGCATCACGTTTCCTCTATTATGTACAATTAATCTTAGGGGGGCACTCTCTTTGTGAACCTTAGGGAGACCATAAGCAGTGGGGGCCCTTGCATTTCTCTGGAGCAGTGAATTCATTTAACACTTCTCCATTTAATCATTACTTACGCATACCTTAAGGGCATCTTTTAGCCTAGTTTTAAGTCTTTTAGTTGGGTCTCTCAATAAAGGTCTATACATGTTATTGTTATTTGAATGAACTAGCATCTTTCCTGCATAACGTGATTTAGCCATGACTACCACTGCTCCACCGTTGTCGGATTTCGTTATGATTAGATTATTATTACGCAGATATCTAGAAATCCTTCTAATATAACAATCTTTCTTAGGTGGTATTATATGGTCGAAATAAGGGATCACCTCCAGTTTAATACTATTCCTTACCACTTCAGGTAATCTATCAGATAAGCATACAAAGTATGAGTTTGCAAGTCACTTCATCAATATCACGGAAAGAAACTAGTGCAGCTTTAGCAGATACACAGGCTAAGGAGAAAATGTTAGGAAAAGAAGGATAAAGGAATCTCTGCAAATTATTCAGGGGAATAAATGAGTTAAACAGAGGAAATCCGAATATATCCAGAATGTAATAAATGTACACTGTGATCCACACTTAGATTTAAAGACCTACCAACTGAACCAACCAAGATAAATTGCAACGGATACTTGATTCCACCGATGAATTTCACCTTGTCTTGTTTGTCAAAAACAGCCATTAAGACTTGATTATAACTCGGACTTCACTTGACTTTATCAGTTCCCGGATAGACTCGAACCCAAAGTTGCCTGAGTTTATAAAAATGCACTGCTGCTATGTAAATTGCTTTAAAAAAACATCGAATTGCAGTTACGAGACAAGAGCAAAGTAGTAGTGTGCTTGCAGGCTGAGAAGTATGACTTTGGAAATTACACTAGGATTATAATATTCCTATTTTATTCAGTCAGGACGGTCGAATATCTGACAGGCAATAGAAAAATGGGTGTAATGTACTATTGTCCGGAGGAGATCTGTGGGGTTATCAGCAAATGGCAAACACGTGCATCTAGACACAGATTCTAGGGGCTAGGGTTGAATAAAGGGGTTGAAAGAGGAGGATTGCAGATTGGCGAACTGAGGAATGAACCTAGGCGATACCAAATATAGTAGGGATCATTTAAGGTAATAGACATAAACAATATGAGCAAAACTAAAGGTAAATATAGACGCTAGATAACTAGATACAAGGCCATGTAAATATTGAAATATGATTAGATATAAAAATTTATAAGCATTAAGTGAAGGAGAGAGAAAAGATATTAAATAGGAGGGAATGACCCCCTAAAGTATGTGACAACCTAAATCTTCGTTGGATGACCGCTCCCAATTCAGAGAGGTCTAGGTAACTAGATGCCCAAGATCAAACTTTTAGGAATATTTATGATGTATCGGGATAATAAGGTACAAAACGCGGAGTTTAAGCAGCGAAAAAGTCTGAATTCACGATAATGAAGAAAGTTGTCCCCATCGCAAGAATACAGGCAAAATGCTTGTCAATTGCTTGTATGGGAGTAAAGCACGACCAAAGACAAGGCATTTTTGCATTATTAGTGACTTAGGAATGCCTCAATTAAACAAACCATAAAGGTTTGTAAATGATAGGATGAATTGGGATACCTACGGATTATACCAACTTTGCACACGGAGGGAAAGAGAAACACAGATTGCGAGGGATTAAAAATTCTGCCCATTAGACAAAGCCGGAGTTAAGACCAAAGATTTGGTTTCCTCATGTGGAATAGGGTCTGTTCACAAAAATCCACCTCCATCAATAACTCAGGAAAGACGTGAAAATGTGTCTGAAATAGAATGGAAGGCGCCAAGAGTATGGACGACATGGTGTAAATTGAAAGGACTGTGTAGTTTAAGAGCATAAATCGCTCTTCCTGACAAGTCTAACCAACATAAACGGCCATTTCGAAGACAGCAATACAAATGGAGAATTTAATTCTTCATATTTAAATCCTGAGTAGGCAAGCACTCACTATTAAAATATAACAATTTCCTCGGAAATGCTCGCCGATTTTATAGGAGGAATGGGCCTTATCTCTGTGCTGAGAGAATAGCGTATAATGATCCGACTTTTAAATAAAGTTGATTTTATTACCAAACGAATGGTTGAAAACAAAGATAGGTAAAGAAGAAATTCATTTTTAATCATTAGGGCCCGCTGAGCCCTTGCGAGGTAAATTTTTTAGCTGAAATGAAGGCAAAATAAAATGATAAGTCATATACTCACAAAGATTACGACATTCGGAGTGGAACTGGGCGAAGCAAGAAGTTGTTTGGGTGGTGCTACAGCGAACCACCGGTTGTTTTGGATCCCCAGTTACGATCTCACACATACAGAGTGGGCAGCTGTTGGGTAAGGCGGAAACCACCATGTCAGTCTCATCCTGACTAGCCAAATGGTCGGTCTCGAGAGAAGATGTTAAGCAGGCCATCATAGGCCAGTTAGTCTGGGCTGAGGTAGAAGTTTTACCCGTTTTCGTGAGACCTGACGATAACTCCACTGGAAGTATCATCGATGCTGAGTAGGAAATAGAGTTTGGGCGTTGGGCAAGGCTGATCGAGGTAATAGGGATTCTATCTGTGCCATGGCTGAGGGAGCAGACATTCCTAGACAGGTGCGCTTCGCTTAAATTAGATTCATCTGATCGAAAATGGAACGGCTGGATACTATGAGTCTTCAGCATACAAGTTTCTATTTCGCATTTAGAGACCATTGAAGTGGCTACCACTGGCCAGATTGTGGGAATTGCTTCTGGCAAGAAGGCAGTGCTGAGAGGCCCACTAAGAGACAGCTCCGCCTTCGGGGTCGTAGGTGTTTCGGGAGTCTCCGGGATAATGGCCAACTCAGTTTGGTCTACAGGATTAAACGACTGCCTGGAAGATGAACCAGGCAAGAAGCTACTGTGGCTGGGCAGGTCCGCCCAGCAGTGGAGGCTGCCTGAAGTGCAGAAGACCGTAGCCACCGAAGATGCTCTAGCAGGATAGCTGGTACACTGCACGTTGCTCTTTGTTGGAAGAGGAGATTTAAAGACAGTCCGAGGACAAGTAGCTGTCGGTGTTCCCGGAGAAGAGATGAAGGAGATGTAGTCGGCGGCATTGGTGCTGGTGCCGGTGATTTCAGTGGAGGCGACGGCCAACTCGCTGGTCAGGCTATGTTCGACAGCGCGGGAAATTCGCCTAAACGCACCCGGTCGGCTGCCAGGCTCTGCAAAAGAAGAGCAGAGGGCCGGCCCGGTAGAGTCTGCTAAAATTGGACGCTCATGTGGATTCCCAACTGAAGAAAGAGTCTCTCGAGAAGCAGATGCCCCCGTGGGCGAAGTAAACTGTAAAAGAATCAAAAAATGAGAGGGAGGAACACAAATGAGAGGAAAAAATAATTATTAGTGGCTTGAATGAGAGCCTTAGCAAGCTTAGGTCACACAAGACGACTTAAGAGAGATTAAAGGTTTCTTCAATAAAATAAGTAGATCGTAGACATGAGGACTAAGATAGTGTGGTCATGTGTGTGATCGCAGTCTCTTTTAGCCTCATATCATTGGTTCGACCTCGTTTTCTCAACTTGGTCGGAGCGTCAGGGAGAGCTTGTGGAACTTACACAGTCGTGTGTTCTCAGCCGTACTATTCTGCCATATACATTTCAATGGGAACGTAACAAATGACTGGTCCGATGCTAGAAATCACGAATACTATGGCAGTGAACACAGGACTAGGTACGTTTTATAAGGTCGCCTTGACGCCCCGACCAAGTTGCGAAGGCGAGATCAAACCAACAGAATAAGAAGACCTCCCTGAAGGCTTTTCAAAAGGCTATCACACGCAGGATAGAATACATTTTGATTACGGGATTAAGAAATAGGAAGTATACGCCAAATGGCAACAAGTTAAGACCCCGCAACATGGATACGGATGCCAGTGGGTATCAGGCCAGGCCTCTAAAGGTTTATGCACTATATTGAGACCGTCACTAGGGGAAAGGTATACTTAATATTACATCATTTTAAATTACTATTTACTGAATGAAAAGGCTTCGAAAATATCAGTCGTTCTTGAATAAGAGCTTAAGACAAATTTCACATATAATAAAGTCTCATATCGTCATAATACTATTCATGAGGGCGCCATTGTTTAATTTTTAAGACCAAGCAGATAGAAGTAATAAGTTAGAACTTATTCTAGCATCTAGATCGCATCACCCTTGAAACTTAGAAAAATATCCACCTACCGCATGTATTGCCTGTCAATGTTGTAAAATATCCTTGCGGCTTTTGATCAAAAATAATAAGTATCAACAGGTTAGCAAAAAAAGAAGTAAACTCGAATATATACAAAAAGATGGTTACATCAATGGTAAAATAATCTTGTGTACACGTCTATGTTCGTGTGCGAGAACAAGGATGCCATAAAATAAATTACTTAGAAACAGGCCCGATGACATCGTACTGAGATTTCGTGAGTACTATGATGAACATCGTCACAGTTTAGTGTCTTTTGGTGATTGTTCGTGAATAATGGCTTCTGGCTCTGACGATGTCCGTCACATGATGGAAGAAAGCTCAGCACGGAGTCATCAGACTCGTGTGGTAAGCAGAGGTCTTCTTCGCACAATTCAGCACACATAAGTCCAAGACAACTCTCCTTCTATATCCGATGAGGACAATCTACAAATCCCTTTTACGCGCCTTCTCAAACGAAGTGAAAGGTATGCCAATATCAATCAACAAGGGGGTTTTGCGAAACCAAGTTTCTCTCATAGATTGCTTAGAACAGAACAAAGAACAAAGAAGTGCAATTCAGGATAAATTTTAAACAAAATAGAAATGGTAATGAAACAAGTCAAGAGTACGATGCTGGAAATCATCATGAATACTGTGGAAGAGGACGCATTACTAGGTACGTTCCAAAGGGTTTCCCTGCAGCTCCGATCAAATTGCAAAAACAAGGTGAAATCAACATTAGGTGGTTTACAATTATTGTTGGAGAGGATATGGGAGAAGTGGATGAGGATGATCAGATTCACACGAGCTACATACCATCGTTTTTGCGGTCTCATAAATATCCGTCTAGGCTACAATTAAGGTGACCCCTTCCACCCCAATTTTATAGTGTGTAAATGCACAGCTTTTAAGAGGCAATTAACACAGTTATTCTGTAGCACAAAATGTTTTTAATATAACTGGACGGTGACTTTGTAATATGGCAGCCACTAGAAGAAAACTTATAATAAGTTCTCAATTTCATGAACCAGTTGGACGCATATATGAACTTCCCGTATAAGTATTGGTTTGACGTGGCTTTCGCAAATTGGCGGGAGCGACAAGGAGACCTTATGGAATGTACTTAGTGTCGTGTCCTCTGTCATAGTATTCATGAGGATTTCCAGCATCATACCACTTAGTTGGTACATTCCTAGACATTTCGCCGGCACTCTATTAGACATCGTCAGTAAGAGGCGCCACCCTCAATGGTCAAATCTACGGTCAGATACTGAAAATCATCAGGAATACTATTTCAGAAGATGCCGAACAAGAGGTGTTCACCTAAATCCCTCTGACAACGAGATCAAGTTGCAAAACTGCGAATAAACCACTTTTAAACTGATTTGAAATCGAGGAAAGGATAAATGGGGCATCTGATGAAGATAATTGTCGTGCATAACTTTTAAAGAGAACAAAATGGAAAGATCATACATATCGTATAGGATAATTTGAGAAATGGAAGTTACAAAGTGATAAGTAGAAAATAGATCAACGAATAATATTCTTATCTCTAGTTTGATCAGCATGCAATTACAAAAAGCTTATTTAGACTCTTGATACACAATATGAGAAGACAGAGGTTTATGAGTTTATTTAAGTAAGCATGGAGGTTACGATAAGAAACATCGGAAAAGCAAACAGAAGAATAAAGTTACGACTTACCTGGATGATTACTTTGCCATTTGGTCATATGGAAGAGAAAAACTAGATGAATTTCTGCAATTTGTAA